AGGAAGGATTATTTTCCTCTCCCGTTTATTGATCAAATGTTGGAGAGACTCCCAGGTTACACACATTACTGTTTTCTGGATGGCTATTCGGGATATAACTAGATACATGTGGCGCTGGATGATCAGGAGAAAAAGACTTTTACATGTCTGTATGACACTTTTGCTTACCATAGGATGCCGTTTGGCCTTTGTAATGTACCCGCTACATTTCAGCATTGTATGATGGCTATTTTCTCGAATATGGTTGAAAAATTCATTGAGGTGTTTATGGATGACTTTTCAGTTTTCTGGTCTTCATTTGATGAATGTTTAGAACACTTGACTTTAGTCCTATAGAGGTGCAAGGATAATATATGGTACTGAACTGGGAGAAATGTCATTTTATGGTACATGAGGGCATTGTACTAGGACACCGAATTTCAGCTAAGGGAATTGAAGTGGATCGGGCAAAAATCCAAGTCATCGAGAAATTTCCACCACAACTTGTGTAACGGGTGTTCGCAATTTCTTGGGCCATTCTAGATTTTACAGACGGTTCATACAGGATTTTTTGAAGATCACTGAGCCATTATGTAACTTGTTGATGAAGGATACTCCATTTGACTTACTGAAGAGTGTTTGGTGGCTTTTCAAACACTAAAGGAAAAACTTATTTCAACACCAGTGGTTGTCAAGCCAGATTGGAACTTACCATTTGAGTTGATGTGTGACGCAGTGGCTATGCAGTGGGTGTTGTTTTAGGACAGCAAAAGAACAAGGTTTTTCACGTGATATACTACACTAGCAAAACTCTGAACGATGCACAACTTAACTATGCCACCACGGAGAAGGAGTTGTTAGCTGTAGTATATGCATTTGATAAGTTCCGCTCGTATCTTGTTGGGTTGAAGGTCATTGTTCACATAGATCAAGCAGCACTGAAATATCTGATGACAAAGAAGGATGCCAATCCATGACTAATTCATTGGGTTCTGCTATTACAAGAGTTCGATATTGAAATCAGAGATAAAATTGGTAGTGAGAATGTGATAGTAGATCATTTATCCAGGTTGGCACTTGAGCAACCAGACAATTCGGTGGATATCGATGAGATTTTTCCAGATGAACACCTATTCAGTACGGAGACATCTCCTTGGTACGCTGATATTGTAAATTAATTGGCTAAATCTATTCCACCTCCGGAAGTTTTTTGTGGATTTGAAATATTACTTTTGGGAAGATCCAGTTCTATATAGGCATAGAGCGGATCAGATAATCCGACGGTGTGTACCTGAAGACAAAGTACCTAAAATTTAGGAGTAGTGCCATTCATCTGCATATGCAGGACATTTCGAGGCCTCCAACATAGTAGTAAAAAATTTACAGTCAAGGTTTTACTGGTGTACTTTGTTTCGGGATGCTTTTGAATCTGTGAAGAAGTGTGATCGATGTCAACGCACGGGAAATGTATCCAGAAAGAATGAAATGCCACTTAAGGGTATTTTAGAAGTGGAGCTATTTGATGTTTAGGGAATTGACTTCATGGGACCATTCCCATCTTTATTCTCTGACCAATACATTCTTGTGGCGGTTGA